ACAAGTCAATACGTTAGCTTATAGAATTAAATAAATATCATACTTTATAAAATAACTGAGATATCACGCGCGTTCTGATTGGTTAAAAACCTATGGTTTATTTGGCCGGTAAACTCATAGAAAACTTAAAGTTGTTTTATTAACTCTCTTCGGCTCGTGTTCTCCCATCATCCCGCGTGGGTTATCACGCCGGTACACCCATAGAAAGTGTGGTCTATTGCTTAAGTATACGACTCTACCGTACTGCATATGCGATTCACCATCAAAGGAAGTTAGTTTAGTTACTAAAGAGCAAAGCTCACATCGTTAGACCTTAAAAATTAATAAAGAACATACAGCATTAAGTTTTTTTTTGATATTTCTGGTTTCATACTGTACTTGTAATAGGAAAACATAATGGGAAACATTTTTATCTCTGTAACCTCACCTGCCTAATACAAGGAATTAGCTGTATAGATGTAATGGATATTTATGTCATACCAAAAACTTGGGTAGTTGTGAAAACACATTCAGAGCAAGTACTTTGTAAAGTATGCTCGAAATCCCTTTAAAACCAATTTAAGGAATAAGCGATGCTCTAAGCATACACGGAACTGAACAATATCAAAACCATTGGAACAATCGCTCAGTACAAACGCCAAAATACACCCGACCCGTCACATCAAAAATTACCAAGCAATACTTAAGCTTATAGTCAGTGCCAATACAGGCTAAGAGGTAAATTCATGAAGTGTCCTGACTGCTTAATCAAGACATATCAGTTTTTAAGTAAGGAAAAAGAACAAAACAGGTCCTAGCTCGAGCAGACTAGCATCACTGTACGACCATGGGCAATAACTGCCTGCACTGAGGTCTAGGGATTAATTCTAAAAGATTCCGAATGAAAGATTACGAATTACGTACAAAAAATGCATGGAACAATTATTTTCGTGAAATTACACATCAAGAAAAGCATACTGAAAATTGCTTAACATGCGTCTGTGTCGGAAACCTGTTAAGCAAAGTTTTATCAGTACGATCGATGAAATTCGTTTCATCCGCTTCAAAATTGTACAGCCGGAAAGTGCCCCTAAACAAACCGGGCAGTATTAAGAATGAACCATTACTACCAATCTCGTTTCGTTCTCGGGCTTACACAGTTAATCATGATGGGCTGCAAATAAAAGCTCACAATTGTTGTTCCTCTCGTCTGAAAATTGCAATAAAATGTGCTGGATAAAACACATTAATGCATTAATCAGGGATGGACTACAGTTTTTTTGGCAAAGCCTTACAGTTTGCACGTGCAAACACATCGCTACAAAATTCTTATATTAGATTCTCAATATTTGAAAGCGAAAAAAAAAGATAATTGTCAACAATTGCGACTATTGCAAAATAAACTGACGGGGCTCATTTTTGGATTGCCTCAAAATATTTAGTTACCCAAATCTGCTTGATTATTGAGGTGCGCAATTTGTTGATATTTTTTATTATCATTTCTATCTCTCTGCTGTGAGATTAGGACGCGTTTCCCAATTTAACGATTAAAACAGATTCTGTCACGACTATATATTCATATTTTATACACGCAAATAAGTTTTGGCATCGTCCTACGGAAAGGTCTGCATGAGCTGCAATACAGATTAGCCTGTGATGCCAGCTGCTTCGCACAATTTTTTTGCAGCTATATACCGTTGCCAAGACCAATGAATCAGCGTGATTTCTTCGCTTTCCTTTCCGATATTAAATGTTTGCTTTTGCTATATTTTGAAGCAATTTTTGTTCGATTTGTGGGGACGAGTTGTCTAATATGCCTGAATAGGTGTAGGTCATAGTTGTAAAAATCATTTTATTGAAAGCAAGATTAAAGATCAATATTGTTGGAGTTGACGGATTTAAAGTAATTTCACCTAAGAAAAGAATATAAAAACACCTTAAGCAAATATCTCATATAGGTCGAAGATAAGCAGATTACGGTTAATTTACAAAGCCTGGCGTTTCCTAAATATGCAGGTGCATGTGGATAGCGGTTACAACAGAGGCTAGAATCGAAAATGTTGCCAGGGGCAAAAACTCCTGAAACGATAAGCAGAAAATCTGGGGAGAAAGCAATACCAAGGCTCAAGAGATTGGATCACCTCCTCGATAAAAACAGATCAAACTTCCAAAAAATAGACGGTGAGTAAGCAATGTAGCGTATAAACACCTACGTTAGTACCTAGGTTGACGATCGAGATATCGTTGCAATTGAATTTTTTTTTGTGATTACACTGTAAAGCTCAAAACCGTCTAAGCGCCAGTGAGATTAGTCTTTACTAAACTGGAAGTAACTAACTGGAAATATACACCGGCATACAATCGGTATTCGTTAATATTTAAAGAAACTTTTTCACTCTGGTATTTTTAAAGGTGTCCGCCGGTTTTAATTTAAACGTTTTCCACACATTGCGGCTTGAACCTTACCCCGGTAGACAAATAAAAATCTTTCATCCATCAGCATCAGATGGAAAAGAAAACTGCACTGCCCGCATTTTTATAACCCATGAACCAATAAAGCTGTCTCTTACTAGACAGGAACAGCACTCCTCAAAACGAGTCACTGAAATTCGTCGATGACGGCGATATTAATGTCGCCTCAAAGTTTGGCTATTGTGGCTTCGATTTTCATCATGATTGTTATTACCGTTTGACAATTGCATTTGTAGTCAATGGAAGCAAAAGGCAGATGAGCCAAAAATGTCAGTAAAAAGTACCGAATTAAAGCTGTACTTTACATTTTTGGTAGCTTCTCAAGTTATCCATGGAGGGAGGAAAATCCTCAGTAGCAGGTGGATCAGCCTAGAGCCAGTTCCTTAGAACTAGGATCTTCCTTCTAAGAGGTAGGAAGATCCTAGCCCCAAGTGAACTGCCTTTGCTATTCTTAGTACTACAAATTATAGGGACAAACCAAACAAAAATGGTGGCAGGTCGTTCAGTGGTTAATCACGGCAATAAAGGCCGACCATTTCGTTTGGCGTTACCACGATCTGATTATTGTGTGAATTATCCTGAAAGGTAATTATTAACGCCAGTAAAGACAGCAAATTGTATTTTTGTTTTTGACGCCCGCAATTTTTAATTCCTTCTTGATCCTTCTCTACTTCAGGACACCACAGACCAAAATTTCTGCATGTAGACCCAGCGAAAATTTGTTCCACCTTCTAGGGTCTTCCTCCCTTCATATAAACAGCCCTCTCGACGACACCACCGTCCATATGATGTGTTCCCTAAGTGCATCAATTGGAGAAAACAAGTCCCAAGAGTTAGCGAAAATAAATTTGTAATGTACTGCTTGTAAACGAAAAGACCTCGTCATAAATGCTGAGATGCTGACGGTCTGCAAATGGAAAAAAACATGATGGTGATATAATATCCACTTAATGTCAGATCCCTAGGGAAACAGTTAGTTTTGTTTTCCCGAGAGTCTCGGGAAAACAACACTAACTGGTTCAGTTCCCGAGAGACTTGACATTAAGTGTTTTGCTATATTTCTAGACTTTTACTTCAACAGCAACAAAAGAATAACCGGAGCTAATTAAAACAGTCGACTCGGCACTTATAATGAATGATTTGCAAAGTACTTTCCTTATATTATAACTATTATATTCCACTAGCTGCTGTTTTTATTCTGGGAACTTCTGGGATAACTTTAAAAATCGTTGTTTTTTTAGCTTCAGGCTTCGTGTTGAGTGTGTTGTTATAGTTGTGTTCATTCAAGAGAAAGAAAACTGGCAGGACCTGGCAGTGTTTTTTCCCGCCCTCTGTCACGCCACTTTCCACCATGTTTTGATCAAGTGCTGTAAGGTACATTGTTTAATCTATCACGAACGGGATACACCTGATTTTAGTCAAGGCCACGTGACCAAGAATCGACCAATGGCAGTCCCTGTTTAGTAAAATCGCCTGGATTATCTCGACCGAACAATCAAGGCTATCCTCTGATGCAATCCAGGACGAACCGAACAATTTAGGCGAATGCAGTAGTAAAGAATAAAACTGAAATACATGTATGCACAGAAAGGATGGTGAACAATTATCTCGCATAAGAATCTCGATCGTCCCACTGGCAATAACAATTTTGAAGTAGCTATGTGTTACATGGCAGGTGAAGGAAAAAGACAACAGCAATATTCATACTAAATACAAAAAATCTCTTTTCACACAAATTGAATCACTTCGCTAAACAAAAACATCAGTTTTTCACTTTCCATTAGATGTTACCCTCTAGGGGTTGGCTGTGTTTTCTAGGATGCAGAATAATACATTTCCGTTTCGCGATGAATTTGGCCACAAGGAATGGTTGTTTATTAATTATATTTAGAAAGCATTATAGAAAAGTATTTTTTTGTTAAAAGAAAAGAGCAAATAAATATCGTAGAAATGAGAATTACAACCAGTCATTAGGAAGAAGAAGAGTCAAGTTATACACCACAAAAAGCTTATTACAGACTGTAATTAATCTCTGCACTTTTAAACCTTGTTTTATTCTAAATACTATTTGGTCAAAAGGTTATAACGAATTAACGATAAAACTAAAAAAACAAAAGAAAAAACTAATTAGCGAAAAGTAGTTCTCATCATGGTGACGATTGATTACTGACCAAAGCTTAAGGCTAAAATAGATGATTAAATATATCTCATTAACTCGAACGGATTAACTGGTTAACGAGGCTGTTCTAATGAAAAGGGGGAAATTTAATAACTGAATCATTAAGAATAGTCAGCACTTTCTTGACCAACTTAGAAGTAAAGATTCGGGTTCAGTAATTGATTTGTTAACTAAACCCATTTCGATCGAATCGCTTCTCAAACAGGTTAGGGCCCTGAATCTCTGTGTCCAATGGCTTTCAGCAAAAATAGAGTAAATAAATTGACATAAAGATAGTTTCTGAACCGAATACTACCACTAATATTGACCAGCAAATATTTTCCATTGTTATACACATTTCAGGTGGATGTCTCTGAGCCATCCTCAAAGTATGGATTTCTTAAGATGGAATACATTATGGAGTTTTTGTTTTGGGGTGATGGCTTTCATTATCGTCATTGGAAACGCCATTTCCACCTCTATACTTCTCTCAAAACGATTCCGCAAGCGTCCACATTACCTCTTAACAAGCCTGGCAATAGCGGATCTAGTGGTTGGATTACTTGCAGTACCGTTGTACATAATTATAGCTGATCCAGGACAGAAACTTTTGCCTAGAGTGCTATATGATTGCGTGGATATGTTCGCTGGCAAGTCCTCAATGTTTACTCTGGCCGTCATTTCTCTTGAAAGACTTCACGCTATTGCTCGGCCGCTTCGACACAGGCAAGTGACCTTGGGTCATTATACCATTGCTATAGTTACTCCTTGGATTCTTTCATTTATGGTCGCATCAACTCGGGTGTTGCTACATTTCTCTGTCTTGACAAAGGAGGAGTTCGTCACCGTTGTTACTATCAGCTTATCGGCGCCACTGCTGACAACGTGCTTTGCTTATTGCCTTATTTGGAGAAAGCAATCCTCAAGTATACATAATAATGAAATGAGAGCACGAAATGACGCCAGACTATTGAGGACATCACTTATAATAACTGTAGCATTTGTTTTTTCATGGCTTCCATTCGAAATTCTGACAATAGTGGCCAGCCTCTGCATTTCATGTCAAAACCATTCATTTTTAGTTATTTACCCCATAAAGCTTCTACAATATAGTAATTCCTTCATTAATTTTGTCATTTATTGCTTGAGAATGCCAGAATTCAAAAGGACATTATCAAAAATGCTGCCGAGCTGCAAATTTATCCAGGGTCGATGCCAAGTTCCTTACCCGCTAATCGATCATGGGACAGGTGTCGCGCTTGTTTCATTTGCAAGCCTGCGCCGGTGAGCAGTTATCAAAAAAAAAGGAAAAATGACGTTGAACTTATAGTTGGACCAAAATTACACAACATAAAGAAGAAGAAAAAAATGATAGGATTTATAATTTGCCTTGTAATTGATTGTTAGCTATTGAGATTTATATATACGGCCGGCATGAATTCTTCACCTTTCACTGTTTAACTAGAAATATATTTATAAGTTGTTTTGATACAGTTTTTCGGAGACCTTACCGACGTTTTTCAATCGCCTTAAAAGCGATTTTAACCTTGTCCGACAAAATTTTTACCAGTGATTGACTATGAATTTCGCGCGCTCTAGTCCTGCTACTGAAAATCCGACACCAGGAACTTAGTGTGGTGTTTAGCAAATAACCTCCGTGAGAAGTAAATAATTATGTATGTTTGAATTCAAATAAAACGTAAATATATTTCAAAACTTATATTTTCGATAGCCGTGATAAATTGTTTAATAAAAAAGTTATGAATAACTCAAATTAATCTTGAGTAGCGTCAGAAGGCTGCTTAATATCATATTTTGATGCATGGAAATTTTGGTGTATTTTATTTCTTGCGATCCTGAAATCTAGCCTGTTTTCTCACCACCTGTCTAAGTGAACATCGCGCCAAAACGTCTACGCATGCGCCAGGTTGAGCATTTCCAGTCCCACTTTCCAGTCAGTTCTCCAGTCTCCGGCGCGCACTCGGCTTCACTCTGTGTGCAGTTTGTAGTTCAATTCAGGTGTCCTGCTTAATGTTGCTCGTATTTTTGGTTATCTTATAGTTACTGAAATTTCTTTTATGGATAACCAGGCACAGATCACTGAAACAATTAGTTGATTAGATTACGAAAAGGTAAGTTTATAATAACTTGTGCAATTTTGGCTACTTTGAGTGTTAGGTAAACTGATTTCCTTTCACGAAAACAAAGTTTTTGACTGCCATTTTTCACTAAACCTGGCTGAAGTAAGACATAAAAAGTTATCACTGCAAGCTTGCGCTAATTTTCGGTTCCTCAATTTCTCAGTCTTAATGTCTTAAAACCGCTTTGGGCTATTTGGAAAACGACAACACACAATCGCTTTGTAGTTTTATTTAAGCTGATTTAAGCTTAAGTTTACCGGGTGACCCGAAAACACTGACCTTCCGTCCACGGACATGCCTACGGACTTGGTACACGGACTACTGTACGGACCGGTCCACGGACCCCTCTTTACGGACCCCCATAAAAAGACAATAATAAAAATGACAATTAGAAATTTGACTCACCGCTTGTTTGTTTTGTTCTTTGATATTGTTGCCTCCTTCACTGTGGCGATGAAAGGAGGACAAGCGTACTTCGAAAAAGACCAATAACTGAGCTAACTTGTGTATTCGCTGCTGGCCTCCGATTGCCTCCGCCATTTTGTTGGGCTCATTCCTCCTCGTGTTCAGTGACTCGTCTCAGACTTCAAAATTACGACACGGTATCTCCCCTTGTTTTCATGTTTTTCATGGCGCAAACACACAGATTTTTCTTTCCCAACCCAAAAAAAAAAAAAAAATTTCAACTCCAGGAGGATTCACCTATTTTTCATTTTTCTTAAATTATTCGACTCAAATTATCGTGATAAAGTGTGAAGGAACGCAAGGTAGATTTTAAATGACATTTTCACTGCCTTTCCCATCCTGGATCTTGAATTCTTCAACACAAAAGAGTTTAAAGCTTTTTCGGCGAAAATATGATGCAATGTACCTAATACGGAAAAAAAGGAGGAAACAATAACAAAAAGCAAAACAAAAACTGAAATAAAACGGTAAGTCAAATCTCTAATTGTCATTTTTTATTGTTGTCTTTTTGTGAGGGGTACGTAAAGGGGGGTCCGTGGGGGGGTCCATGGACAAGGGGTCATTGAGTGTTTTCGGGTCACCCTAAGTTTACCAGTGAGTTCTTGTTTTGAAATGAAGCCCTTCTGAGTTGATTGCCATAAAACATAAGCTTAATAATACTATTGAGGTTGGCAGCAAGTTGACAACTCTATTTTATTTATTTATTTTTTCATTCTCGAAGGCTGCAAGCATCTGGTTTTCATCATTGATAAACATGTTGGTATTTCCATTAAAACAATACGATATCGGAAAAATATGGGGCAATTACTCCATATAGATAGCCTAGGAACACTCACAATTTATAAAGATTTTATAGCCAGTCAACTAATTGACCTTTCCCTTTTTAAAAATATCATCATCATTATTTTTCGTTTGTTTTTGTTTTGTTTGCTTGTTTGTCTTTTCTAGTTTGTTTCAAAGAATATCGTTTATTAACCTTCTGGTTGTTTTATTGTATATAGTAAACTTTAAACGGTGACGTGATTTTGTTTTTGGAAATATGCTGAGTCACCGTTTCAAAGATACTGATGTTCTGAAATTTCAATTTAGATCCAATTTTCCTCACACATGTTAACCTGAGATCACGCTCTATTTTCCTTTCGCTTGATTGAAAAAATTCTGGCAGGAGAGGGGAGACGAAAAGAGAGGCCGATACAAATCTTCTTTGAAACGTCTACGACCCACTCTTTTTTTATTGATGGACATTTACCGAAACAGCCAATCAGAATTACTTCCGTTCCGCCATACTCGCGAGCTCTCGCGCGTGTTCTACGGCCGTGAAAGAGCAGTGGAAAGCCATTTTATTGACTGCGATTAACTGCACATTTCTTCGTTCTTGTGTATTGATGGCGATTAACTGCACATTTCTTCGTTCTTGTGTGCTTTTCTTAGATGTAGAGTATTTTAGTTTTTACTGTATAGAAGGTGCCCAGTTTAAATATTAAAGTCGATAAAATGTGTAGTGTGTTTAAACCTTGCCAGTAGCTTAGATATCATTCTGCGGAGTTGAAGGCGTTGGAGTTGCGGGTGAGTGAATAAGCTTTTCAAGATTTTTCCCAGTGTTTCATCTTCCCAATTGCGTTACTCTAATTGATCGAACGGTTTTTCGATTCCATTTCTTCTTGAGAAGACTCTTCTTATATCATGCTTATATCAGAATCTTCATAAATACGTAAGGTTAAATTTAATTTCACTCTCAAGCTGCTTTATTTTTTATCGATCTCTTTTATCTGCAAGTAAGATTGTAAACATTCTGCAAGATTTTCTCTCTGACAACCAGTTTCTGACTTAGAAGATTGAAATAACTGATTTTCTTTTGTCTGTTGTTTTTCTTGTGCCGTCTTTTATAACAAAAACAATACAGGTCACTTGTTACAACTTTATCAACGGTCTTCACGTTTTAAAGCTACATAATTTGCATTTGTTGAAGATCACTTAGTAAACGAGGCATTAATTTTTTTGTTGTTTATAACCAGTCACAGTGCTGTCCACTCCCGGATAATCGGGGCGACTCCACATTTTGGACTGTATCCCCCGGTTTCCAGATTAGAGTCTGATATCTCCCGGATAATCGCCTCAATTGCTATTTCTTGTACATTAGACTTTCCGACCATAAAAGTTCAAATACTTTGCGTTGTTTAAGCTACTGCGGGAAAGTTTCCCAATAAATTCTGGTATACCACGGTAATTTAAGCAATAATGTGACTAAATATTATCTGTTTGTGCCATATACGTCGATCGGAATCAACGAGCATTTTTGGCACAAATGACGTCATTTGCCGTTTGAGATGACCTCATCTATCATTTCGTCCCTATCAATTCTCAATATTTGATGACGTGGGTGGTTGACAGCCCTGCAGTCATCTTCCTCCCAGTCTGGTAATATGTCTTCTAAGGTTATGTCTGAATCTTGGCGAAGAAAATGACACCATGGATTCTTCTATTTCAAGTGTGGTGGACATCGCTGAAGACTTCATTCAAGATCTCCATTCGATTACAGAACCTCACATTAGTTTTACAATCTAACTTTGGGGAAGGTTGTGTTGTTCCTAGCTAATTTTGGTGCATTTGTTCAATGCTTTAGAACTGGCATTAATGGTTAACTAAGAATTCTTAAAGCTTAAACAGGGGCTTAAATTAAGTCCTTGGTAAGCTGAACATTTTGTACTCTTATAATAAAAAAATATGTCTTACAGGGTAACCGTATGTATAGTACAGTTGTTGGCTTCACACTAAAAGCGAAGTTAGTTTCAAGTAAGCACTTGATTCAAGTGCACTTGGAAACCTTACGTTTCTCTGTAGAAAACATGGCTTCACACTTTCTTGACAAAGTTTATTACTTGAAATAAAAAAAGCTGTCAATCTCGATCTCTCCGTTCATTAGAATCTTGGAACCGCTGCACGTGCAGCATGCACATCGTGCAAATGGCTTCCATATTTGTTTTTGGTCAGGTGTGTTCTCAAGTGTGGTGTAGCCTATCCTTGGCGGCGAACTTAGGCTTCTTTGAACTGCAAAAGTTTCCATGGTTACCCCGTCACACTCAAAGAAAGTTACAATTGCAAGGACCCTTACATCATACTTGAAGCTCTAGTTTGAAGCCAACAACAAGTATCTTGAGTACGTTTAGTGTCATCGAAGCAAATGACAACGAGAATGTACATGACAGGTAGTATTTATATAAGACTATTAAGCTAAAAAAGCCTAAGTGTACCAGAAATCGAGCAAAAGGTAAGCTTAATAAAATAAAACTCAAACCTACAATACCCTACAATAAATGGTGTCCTCTCGATCTTGTTTACATCCATTTAATAATAATTATTATTATTCATTCACAATATTTCCCAGATTCTGATTGGCTAAAGGCACACGCGTAATTCATCATAACCAGTTGCTGATGACCAAATTTGGAAGAATTTTGTGTTTAACGAGGAAATGACGCCAAAAATGCAGCGTTCTTGCAGGTTAAAGTACCGTTGACCGAGAAGACCTGGGGACGAGGTTGAGTTGCTTTGGTTGTGAAAACAAAAAATGGCTTTCTCAGTTTCTCTTGCTTTAATCCGAAATAATCTCACAAAAATTTTCAAAACCGCGCGCCATGTTAGCTCATGTTGAACAAAGCAATCAAAACAAGTTTTCCGTGAC